ACACACGCACGCATGCATACACACACATCACTGGAGACCATCTGCCTCTGTCAGACCGGGTTCTGGAGGACCGGGTTCTGGAGGACCAGGTTCTGGAGGACCAGGTTCTGGAGGACCAGGTTCTGTCGGACCGGGTTCTGGAGGACCGGGTTCTGGAGAACCGGGTTCTGGAGGACCGGGTTCTGGAGAACCGGGTTCTGGAGGACCGGGTTCTGTCGGACCGGGTTCTGTCGGACCGGGTTCTGGAGAACCGGGTTCTGGAGGACCGGTTCTGTCGGACCGGGTTCTGGAGAACCGGGTTCTGTCGGACCGGGTTCTGTCGGACCGGGTTCTGGAGAACCGGGTTCTGGAGGACCGGGTTCTGTCGGACCGGGTTCTGTCGGACCGGGTTCTGGAGGACCGGGTTCTGTCGGACCGGGTTCTGTCGGACCGGGTTCTGGAGAACCGGGTTCTGTCGGACCCGGTTCTGGAGGACCGGGTTCTGTCGGACCGGGTTCTGTCGGACCCGTTCTGGAGAACCGGGTTCTGGAGGACCAGGTTCTGTCGGACCGGTTCTGTCGGACCGGGTTCTGGAGGACCGGATTCTGGAGGACCGGGTTCTGTCGGACCGGGTTCTGTCGGACCGGGTTCTGGAGGACGGTTGGTGGACCTGCTTACCTTGAGCTCCGGCATGGTGACGATGAGCGCCTTTGGGACTTTGATGTCCGGGTTGTTGGTGTAGTCCAGCGGTACCAGGTGTGGAGCCAGTTCCCGGTACCGTCCGTGGAGGCTGCAGAGCACAGAGGACGCACCGTGAGACAACGGCCCACCCGTCCTGACGCCGCCCCCTGCTGACTGCAGATACCACTGCAACTAGACACAGTGAGACGTCCTGTCTGTCCTCATGATGCTGTCCATGTCCCACCAGTAAATCTGATTCTGGTCACACCTTCCAGGACTGAATCAATTTCTTTTCTATCCTCTTTGGTTTCATGATTCATGAATAATTCCTTTGAAGAACTTCTCCTCCTCTCTGTCTGTAGTATTTGTCTCATAAATCCATCAAAAGTCCTCGTCACATGACCAGAACATCTGCGAGGAACAGCCACCTGTCCACCTGTCCTCAACACTCTCTCACTGCGGCAACACGACGACGCCCACCGTCCCCGTCTCTGGAGACAACTCTGGATCGCAGAGCTCCACACGTCTATTCTGGTTCTGGCTGCTATTTCTGCTTACCTGGACTCTACCTGACCTGTCACCCCAGAGCAGAGTTGTTCAGGCTGTTTCTGTCTGGTTTGTGGCTGAGACAATGTCTCCGATGTCTCCTGTCTCCTCCTCCTCCTCAGTGAGGAAGTCGTCTGTGTGGACTCACCTCAGGATCTCCTTCGGGTGAAATAGGTGCAGTCCTGTAAACAAGCAGAGAAACGGTGAGGATCTGTCTCCAGGGATCCAATCAGCAGCCACGGCTCCATCCTGCCTGGTTTGGCTGTGAAGCGTCGTGATTTATTTGCGGCTGACCTGATACGCCTCCAGCTGCTCCTCGGTGAAGGTCGTCTGCTTGTTGCCCATGGTGCGCGGCGGATCGTCCCATCACAGAGCTGCATCCCACTGGAGACTCCCCCACATGCAGGCGGAGGCTCTGCATCCGGCTCCCAGGATGATGCTCCTTCTGCTGGAGGAGGAGTGGTACACTGCCCTGATGCTTTCAGGTGCTGCTGGGAAAATCTGCCTTCCAGGAGCCCGACAGAGAAATGCTAAAAATTATTTTTACAATTTATTACAATTAGATTTTGTTTTACAATTTCAGTATGCTTTTATTTGTTTTTACAGAAACATTTTTGTTGAGTTAAATATTTATGAAACAACTTATCCTCATGTGTTATGAACAGCACAGACATGATAAAACAAAACTTAAACTAAATCTGGGCCAAAGTAAAGAATTTATCAGTGAAAGTAAGAATTTTACTCAGGTGAAACTGGAGAAACTGATCGTTTGGAGAACACCTGAAGGCAGCACAGAGCCTCACCTGGTTTGCCTCAATGGAGAGTCAAATAACTACACAATCAGTTTCATACAATAGCAAATATTCTAGAAACAATGCGTTGATGCAGAGTTAGTTTTTTATTTTTGTTGAACTTTATTTAAGCCAATAAGAACCTGTGGAATCAGAGTGGGCGGGGCTTCAGCACCTGCCCTTTTCATCCTTGATTCCCAAGAGCCTCTTTGTTGGAGGGCATCGTTCTTAAATGATTATTATTTACTTATTTTTATGTGTTTGTGCCCCTCAACAAGAAAATAGAAAAACCTTCACACCCATTTTTGTTTGTGCTGAACAGACCCTTAATCTCCACTAGGGGCGCTGTCGTCTCAGTTGATTTCCACCAAACAGCTGCAGTCATTGTAATGACGTGAGATGCCATGACTTGTACACATAACATGTATTTAAATGTGAGGATAAAACCTGCCATGTTTTCTATTGGAGCTCAGCGAATCACGTGACTAGAAATGAACATCTGTTCCTTTTGCTCACCAGCTTTTAGTTTCATTCACATCATTGTCTTTATTTCCGCTGCATATAATAACATATTATTATATAGCATATAATAATATGTTACATGTTTGGAACCACGAGTCAAAACAGGATGATCGAGGAAGATCGAGGTTGAAATGGTTTCCTCCCCAATAAAATGGGTTGTCCCGTCTTGGCCTTTGACTAGGACACCAGCTCCTCCCCTCCATTGGGTGGAGATGGTGGTAATCTTTGTGACTTTAGTTGTGTATATGTGTGGATTGTCCTGTAACGGAGTGAAGATTTTGTCCTGTAACGGGTTTGCCTCCACCGTGGCGGCGGAGCCACAGCGTAAGTCAACAGGAATGTCAAACTGGATTTATCCAGAAAATTGATTCAACAAAGGCTGAAGTTTCAGCCAAATGACCTGAACTGTATCCTCACCTGCCTTTCAGCAGAGGATATGACAAAAGTTTTTGTTCGTCTGCATTATTGAAGGCATTTTGGATTCAGATTGAAAGTGAAAGAAACAGTTTCAATATTTAATATTGAGAAACTGACTGACAACTCAGTGATAGTCAGGATGTCCAATGAGACGGTCAGTGCTGAAGACATCTGGCCCCTGCTGTGGGAGGCCCATGCTGTGGGAGGCCCATGCTGTGGGAGGCCCATGCTGTGGGAGGCCCCTGCTGTGGGAGGCCCATGCTGTGGGAGGCCCATGCTGTGGGAGGCCCCTGCTGTGGGAGGCCCATGCTGTGGGAGGCCCCTGCTGTGGGAGGCCCATGCTGTGGGAGGCCCCTGCTGTGGGAGGCCCATGCTGTGAACCTGTTGGCAAAGCCCGGATCGTTGCAATTCCCACCGTTGCCAGGGGGGGGGGGGGGGGGGAGATGTTGCTCACCCAGCCACCATCTGGACCTCCAGGAACCTGCTGGGAAGCAGGAACGTCCACCGTGGCTGTGATCCGGAAGGTGGCAGCAGGAAGGGAAACATCAGAGCTGCAGGTGGCGCTAAGGACACAAACCTAACCCACGAGGAAGAATCACCTGCACCTCCACGGTTAGAGGCCCGCGCATAGTGGCCTGACCCTCCGGGTGAATCGGGAAGGGCAGGAGCATGAGGGCGGGGTTCCAAGCTGGGCTTCAACAAGGGGCCCCCATGGGGCTCCCCGCTTTGCTCCCCTCTGAATGAAAGTATCCCATTTTAATGAAGCAGTGAGGCATCTTTCAGTCATAGGATCTTCGTTCTGTGGCGGGCTGTTCGTAGTGAGCCATCTCGCACTCGGAGGATCTCAGGTTATTGCTGGGATGGCAGCAGGCAGCGTGTGGAGGTCACTGGTAAGTGGAAAATGTTCTGGGAGTGTTGGAAAGTCTCTACTCGTGGTTCCGCCGCAGCTTTGCGGGTTCGGCGAGGTTCGTTAGGGGCTCTCTGTGGGAACCGAAGCTTCCGGGTTTCTGTTCGGGTTAAATCAGGGTTTTGACGCCACTGTTAGCCTGCTAGCTGTTAGCTGGTGTCCTTCAGGAGAAGTTCCCTCAGCTTCATCCAGAAATGTTCCCTCGTCTGTCTGGAGTCATGAGTCGGCTGTGCTGCTCACTGCTCGGCCAGTTTGTCCCGTTCATCCTCGGAACCACTGGAACTAGACGCTGGAAGCTAGCTTAGCCTCAGCGACACCAGACTCCGTTTAAAAGTGACTAATTTAAGATTTCCTTCGAGTTGGACTGAAACCTATACACAAGATTAAAGGGTCAAATGTCAGGAAAAGAAGGTGGGGTGTCTCTCTTAATTTCGGCCGACATTGAACGCATCACTCATTCCAACACGTGTACAGGAAGTGATGTTTAGGTGTAGCAACAGAGCTCCTGTTAGTTTGAACCTTGACCTCTCAGTGCAGGACAGAGCTATAAACCAGGCAGATCCATCATTGTTTACAAATGTTTCCTCTTGATGCTGGGCTGCCCTCCCCCCACCTGTTGCTGGCTAATGTAAGTTTAACCTCCTTCACAGCAGACAGCATGACAAACTGAGCAGCTTCACTGAAAACCTCAGCGAAATTCATTCAGTGTTCACATGATTTCCCATAATGACTGGTTCCAATCCTGACTGTCAGGACCAGCCGGATCCAATACCTCCGATCTGCGGGTTTCTGGTCCCGCCTGAGTTCTGCTGGGAAGTTCTGCAGAAGAGACGAACACTGAGCGTCTTGAATGAAACGTATTAATAGAGAAATAATTGATTTGATGCAGAGAAACTGAAATAAATCATGAAGATGACATGCTTCATGTATTCACATAGTGTGAAACGGTATTTTACAGCATGAATCATGTGGTCATTCAGTTGTAGTTTGAATCAACAGATGATGTCAGCAGAAGATCAATGGCTGTCATTTCATCTCTTGAGGCTCCAGCATGGCGTCCATTTTGGCGTCCAACGCGGCGTCCAACGCGGCGTCCAGCGTGGCGTCCAGCATGGCGTCCAACGCGGCGTCCAGCGTGGCGTCCAACGCGGCGTCCAGCGCGGCGTCCAGCATGGCGTCCAGCGTGGCGTCCAGCATGGCGTCCATTTTGGCGTCCAACGCGGCGTCCAGCGTGGCGTCCAACGCGGCGTCCAGCGTGGCGTCCAGCATGGCGTCCATTTTGGCGTCCAACGCGGCGTCCAACGCGGCGTCCAGCATGGCGTCCAGAGTGGCGTCCAGCATGGCGTCCAACGCGGCGTCCAGCGTGGCGTCCAACGCGGCGTCCAGCGCGGCGTCCAGCATGGCGTCCAGCGTGGCGTCCAGCATGGCGTCCATTTTGGCGTCCAACGCGGCGTCCAGCGTGGCGTCCAGCGTGGCGTCCATTTTGGCGTCCAACGCGGCGTCCAGCGTGGCGTCCATTTTGGCGTCCAACGCGGCGTCCAGCGTGGCGTCCAACGCGGCGTCCAGCGTGGCGTCCATTTTGGCGTCCAACGCGGCGTCCAGCGTGGCGTCCATTTTGGCGTCCAACGCGGCGTCCAGCGTGGCGTCCAGCATGGCGTCCATTTTGGCGTCCAGCGTGAATCTTGTCAAAGTGATAACGTTTCTGCTGAACATCTGATTAAAACTTTGTTTTTAGTTTACTTTGTTCTGATTGTTTTTGTGTTTTTACATTTTTTTATTTCAATTCAAAATTTTCGGTGCCGGAGCCACAAAGTTAGAAAATAAATGATTGAACATGCGATTGATTAACTGATCTGTGTTTAGCTGTTCAGGTGAAGTAATGCTGCTTCCTGTCTGCTGCAGGTGAGCCAGTGATGGGCGGAGCCAACAGGAGGCCAGCTGTCTCTTCCTTCTCCAGAGGGGTGAGTGAACTGGGTCTCAGAACGGGTCTGCACCAGCACCTCCAGTCCAGTTCCTTTCATACTGCTTTAAGTTTAGTACCTTCACAGGTCTGACCTCTGACCTGAGCCCAACAACGGTTTATGGTCTTTAGGTAAGTCCAGTTGGTTCTGGACGGTTGTCCTGGGCAGG